AAAAGTCACGTCTCGCTTTCACTTTCGGCTCAGGCGCGCTTTGCACTCATGCACAGTGCCGACAAGTTAACCGTGCCTGAACCCGATTCAGAGCACTCACACTTCTCAAACGATCCGGGAAACGAGCCTGGGCATGGTTCGGATAGCATAGTGTGAGTATGCCCGTAGTGAATGCAGGACCTGGGCCCTCTGGTGTCTCTGGAAGAGATCAAGGCAGTTTAGATAAAAACATGAACAAACAACACTACCTTAAGTTAAAGGCAATTTTTCAATATTTAGTTCAATACAAGTGTAGCCGAAATAGCTTCAGAAAGACCCTTTTTGTTCCACGGAAAGTTTGTAACGACAAGAAAGTGAATAAAGATGATTTTTGGGTGAGCTGCTTAAGACAAAAATCTTAATAAAAAGATAAAAATGTTAATCCCATTTCTGAAAAAATATATTAAAGTAAATAATACCAAGCACCCAAGATTGCAGCATCATTCCAAGTCTTCTCATTTTCCCAAACAGCCAGTTCATCACCTCACTGCTTCTAACAATATGATATAAACTATCCAGACCACACAGAGAAAAAAGCAAAAGCAAAACATGTTTATGACCCTTCATGTAACAATTCATGCCTGTGCGAAACATACATTCCTGTTCTCTACTCAATGTTATTCTCTAGCTGTCCCGTGTGGCTACAGTGTGAAGTCTGTTTTGTTTTAGTGCTGGTTCTGGAAACTAAGTCTGCAAGCTGAGCGTGGGGTCTGCTTTACTTTTGTAGTGAGAAGTTTTCTGGTTAATGCTGATTCAGAAGCCCCAGATGTCATGCTGACTGGGCCACCGGCCTTGAGGACCTCATAATGAAACAGAAGACGTGCCATAGATGCACAATATGAGCTCCGTTACAGCAGGGTGAGACATTTCAAGAGGAAGCAACAAGACTTCACAAGACTTGACTGATACCTAAAACCCTTGTGTGGCTTCATGAAGTGGTGCGAGCCGCAGTGGCATCCATTCCAACAGAAAGAAACGTCAGCCATAATTAAAATGATGCTGATTTTTTGGTTTTTCAAGACAAGACCCCTATAAAAAATAATTTAGATTTTTTTTTTTTTAAGGTAACCATATTTTCAATGTAAATTATATTCATTGCATATTGCCTTTATATATATATATATATATATATATATATATATATATATATATATATATATATATATGAAGAGTTTCGTTGCAAAACGAGATATATCCATTTTGAAAAATGTTGGTTATTTGATATTATTATTTAAGACATCAACAGTCAAGTTCATTCACAATTTTTGTACATTAAACTTTTACTTTTACAACAGTAATACCATTAGGAAAAGCTAGTGAATCAATGTTTTGTTTTATAAGTAAGATTAAGTTAGTTAGATAAACAACTTGTAGCTTGTAACAGAAATAGTGAAGGGCGGCTCCTTCCAAACCACTGCTGAAAACCAAACCTGTATGATCAGAGCGGGCGGAGCCGCGGTGTCACAGTTCTCTGTGTCCACGACACAAGTTCGCCCTGTCATATTTAATAATTCATTTCACTGTAATAATAATAATAATAATAATAATAATAATAATATTAATAATAATAATAATAGCTTATTTATTGGTTGTTGTGAAAAAGCAAAACCGTTTATTTTTCTCCATAACAACCTTTGCCCTTTATGTTCCCTTATAATAAATCAACAACAAAAATAAACGTGAGGTTTTAGGCTTTAAATAATAGGTGCAGCCTTATAAATAAATCTTCAGATAGGCTACTCAGCTACATGTAAGATATTATAAAAAAAATAATCTTACAAAGGACACTATGTCGCCTTGCAGACAGGTATCTTGTGATGGGGAGGAAAGCAGAAAAAAAGGCGCTCCCTGGCCTTCCTCTTAATTGACATCAGCGGAGACTCGTTTCCTGCTGCATTTGTGTATTGTTGACAGACGCAGAAGTCTTTTTGTAAAGTTGAAGGCTTCATCTTCTATCACTAAATAAATGAACAAACTCGGAGCACTTCATTGGTGGTGACTCTCTTCCCAGGGGATGCTAAGCTCGCGCCGCATCCTTAACGTTCTATAACTGTAATATCGCACTTTGTAAAGAAACTGGTCAAGCGGATATCGCATTTTGTGAAAAAATACATTTTGTAGTAGGCCTAAAATGTTCTCAAATTGTTAAATGTTATTAATGGCAGCAATTCACACATAGATTAAGGTACATCTAAACAGTGATTTCCAATAATAAAATCCAAATATCCCATCCAAACTCTTCATATATATATATATATTTAACAGTTCTGTCTGGTTCTCAAATCTGATTGGCTGTTAGCTGTGCAATATTCTGCAATAACAGCATTAGTACAGCCTCCGCACCCTTCTGTATTACTCCACCCACATAGAGTGACAGCAGATGAATAAACTCACTACAGTTTGACAAATATTGCAGCTGATGGACATCATAATTTACTTTTGAGGCTTTTTAGGCAAGAATGTAGCTGTTCAGATTGCAACTAAGCAGTTTATTTTCAAGGACAGTGCCTATTTTAAATATTTATCATTTTGGAGATACAGCATGTTATCAGCCTGTCATGCTGAGCAAGGCTAAGACGGTTGATGTTGTCCATCCACAAGATGGCGACAGAGACAGCATAATAAGCCCTTAGAGGAGAAAAACTCAAACTGGTAAGTGGCATCTCTCTATTTTGTATGTTGTAATGCTGTATTTATACCATAGTGTGTTGAGTGTGATATGGGACTTACATGTCAGGAATGTATGTATTTTGTGTTGTGTTATCACTCTTTGTATAACCCTGAGTTGGTTGAGTGGGTTGGCCATCTGTTTGTTTCCAACGAGTCTCCTGTTTTTGTTACTGCAGACTAGTTAAATAAAGAGAAAAAAAGAAGAAATACCTGCATGTGTTTAGCATTTTTCCTAATTGCAAACACAACAGTAATCTAGAAGTGATTACGCTGCTTTGGCTTTTTCAGGGTTAATTATTGTGATCTCCCAATTGCAACAGAGAATTACCGGGAAATCTCTGTAGACTGATGGCATTTCATGCCGTTCAGCCTTATAATCTTAAAATGTGAGCAAAATCACCTGTTTTGTCATCACTTTAGATATTACACTAGAGAATCATTCAAATACTAGCTCTAAAGTGATGTTGGTGAAGTAGCAATAGTTTCTGCTGTTCTGACGTCAGTTGCAGATGTGAATAAATGGCGGAAGAAAGTAGTTAATATACAAAAGCGTTTTTAGGCTGCGTTTCCACTGCATATCTTGATGGTTAATTCTGATTTTGTTATGTATACAATTTTTTTGTTGACCGGCATACATCATCTAAAAGTGACTCGTATCCGATTGTTTGCATTTACACTGTACACGGCAAAGGCGCAGGAAAAATGAGCGCTGACTGACAGCTGAGAATAAAAGAGCACCCTTTTCTCTGTTCCTGTGTTTAATCTGTTTGCACAAGTTTTCTTTTTGACAAGTTTTTTTTACTATAGTTATGACAGAAAAGTTCTCATTTGGCCATCTTCCTTTAATCTAGGCTTTTTTAAAACAGTAGGTATTTTAATGTAATGTCCATGATTTATGCATGTGATGTATTCAACAGTTTTATATTAGTTTATATTGGTTACGTAGCGGATATTGCTCTCTCTCTCTTTCTCTCTCTCTCTCTCTCTCTCTCTCTTTCTCTCTTTTTAACATGCCTAAATACTTGTGCTATATGACAATATAAAAGCTTTTAAGCCCTCGTTTATGAGATTTAAGGTTTGGGAATCTGCTGATGTCTGTTCTGAAATGAAAGTGTCAGATTTGACGTCTTTCGCTATGGTTTTTAATAATGACGCACATTGACAGGTAAAAATCCACCTGCTTACACTGCAGACACGAGGGCCTGGATTCGATTCATATCAAATAAAATTCCACATATGAACAAGATTGAATCTGATTTGAGTAAATCGGAATGCATGTGTTTTTTTTTTCTGCTTACACATGCATGGGCCATATACGATCTGTGCCACATGGGAGAAAAAAAATCGGAATTGAGTCACAAGAACCAGGCAGTGTAAATGTAGCCTTAGACTCCATGTTTGATTTTGTTTTTTATATACACGATTATGCCATCAAACTGTTGTATAAGCGCAATATCACACTTGTAGCAGGGCGATAGGGCTCTATTTCATCACTGGTGGGACGCTAAAGCTGACACCTCCCACCAGTGCCGATATAGTCATATCACACTGCTACTCGTGTGATATTTCTATGAATAAAATCATAAAATAAATATATATTTAAATAAATAGTGAATTACTGTTTTTATTAATACGTAAAATGTAAATGTATAAATAAAAACTAACAATATAAGTAAATACAGTATAATTAAGAAAGAAAAAAAATTTAATAAAAAGATAATATAAATAAATAAATACTCTTTATATTTCCAGTTGAGCTGCTTTTTCATGAAAACTGTGACAGTTTTTTGGAATTTTAATAGATAACAGAATAATTATTTTAATGCAATTTATTTAAATTTAAATTTAATTGATTTTCTATTTAAAATGCAATATATTTAAATTAAATTTAAACATTTCAACTGCTGAATAATAGTAGCAGTATATTTTGAAATCTTACTCAGCATGCTCTTGTGATTATAATGTTACGCATGCAAACCAAGAGCTTTATTTTACATATTTTGTATGATGAATTAGATGTAAGCTTCAATTCGGGTGACAAATTTGATTACTTCCGAGATTCACTGACCAGAGAGAATTCTCCTGAAAGACTGCCAGCAAATCCATTGTGCTGATGGAATACAAGGCCCATGCATCTATTTAATATTGTACTATTGTAAGCACCATAATTCCAAATGTACCATACAGTGATAAAAATGGATACAGCCATTGTTGAAATATCAAGAGAGGACCCGTCAGATATTAAAACCTCCATCTTACTTACTGATGGCAAATAACATTAGAGGCAATTATGCAGTGACTCAAGTTTAATCTTCAGCCAGAGAGCGACTGATAAAGCATGAGACGCATTTCAAACCCCAGCCAGCACATACCCACATTACTTGCTTCGAAAGGAGAATGTCATAGTTCAAGTCTATGGCTTTTGTGTGACAGGAAAACGACACAGGAAAGACAGAAAGGCAGAAGTGTAGTTTAAGCTTAGCAGATGCAGGACTGTTTGTTTCTCCATTACAGAGGTACTTACAGCAGTTGAGGCTGATCTGGAATAACAGTGTTGTACGTCGCTCTGTTACAGTGTCTTGTTTAGCTTGAAAACTTCACAATGAGTTTTGCCAGCAAAGAATAGACTGCTCACTCTTCACGATGGGAGCTGCGTACCGCGGATATAATAAATTAATCTCCTTCCACATTCACAGTTCCAAAGAAAGAGCAAAACAGATTAAAAAGTCTTTCACTCCAAGAGGATTTTAGAAACATTGAGGCTCGTGACAGCAGCAATCCATACACTTCAAGGTAAGCAATAAATAAATAAAATATCAGCAGTCTGTTAAATTATATATGAAGAGCACATTTACAACATCCCAGCCAGGTATGATTAAAAAATATGAAATGTTTACACATATTTACATGTATAATTTAGGGTTCTCAGCATGCTTGAACAATCAGTGCCATCTTCAGTCTCCAGTGCACTTGTGAAAATCCCATGGGATCCTGTAGTACAGCATTCACACACACATACATACACCCACAACTTTCAGGATGACATGTCTCTTGTTTTCTTTCTCAGTGCTGAAATGTGATTTGCTTGAGTTGAGAAGATGAGGATGAATTCTTCTCCCTTAGTCTTAAATGTCCAGATAGAGAGGTCAGACTCATCTCCTTCATGGCACTGTGGGATGGCACGGCACTGGATCCTCTGAGGTACCTGTACAGTGAACATGATAAAATGCTCACAGAGGGTTGGGTCATTTTCGTTTAATAAACAGCTTTTATTTTATTAGTTGGTATTTAAATTGAATTGGCCACATTTAACAATTGGAATGTTACCTAAGTTTCCTAAGTGTATTTAAAGGTGCCACATAATGAAAATCTGGATATACTATATAGCTTAATAATAAGAGTTCAGTACATGGAAATGACAAAAGCCACTTTAAATCCTGAGTGTAAAATCCTGGTCAAAATCAGACAAATTAACTTTACACAACGTTACATAAATATGCACAACCAATGCTAATATTTGATTGGCCACGGTGTTTCCTGGTGAGATTACAACAATAATCTCCACCCCCACCCCTTATTTTGAATTTTTTCTAAGCTTCTATTAAACATACTATGTATGTGTATCTGTAAAACAAGTAGCCATGCGTTTCATTTGTTCACAGCTTGTCAGAAATAAAATGCTGGATATACGGATTAGGGTTGGGTCAATAGACGATGCCATTGTCCATTGCCGATGGTCAATAGACAACATGATGCTGAGCCGGCATCGCCGATCATCCGCCTCGCCCCTGTCGCAAACCCAATCGCGAAAAATACACACTTAGGCCTCATTTACACCAATACGTCTTAGTATTAAAATGCCACTTTAGAACGAAAATTATCCACATCCACACCGTGTTTTACCTAGCATTTCTGAACAGCCATCTGTCCGCACACACACACACACACACACACACACACACACACACACACACACACACACACACACACACACACACACACACACACACACACACACACACACACACACTGTCATGTGCTCCTCTGAGCTCTAGAGAGCAGTGCACGTTGGACAGTTCATCAAGGATGTACCGATGTGTCGCATCACGTGATGCGGGTCAGGTAGTTAAAACAGTAGGCTACAAATAATAATTCGTTATGAATTAATTAATTATTCATAAATAATTAATTCATCTCTGCCTATGACGGCAATGAAAACCATCCATCGTGATGTGTCACATTAGACATTGTACAATGCCAAATTGGTCGACATTGCCCAACCCTAATACAGATAATACATTCATTCAGTGCCACCGAGAAGAAGCATGAGGTACATTTAAATGCATCATTTGTTAGTTTAAGGAACACCTATTTTACCCCTTTTACATGATGTAAGATAAGACTTTGGTGTCTCCAGAATGTGTCTGTAAAGTTTCAGCTCAAAACACCCATTAGATTATTTATTATGTAATGTAGAATCTGCCCGTTTAGGTGTCTGTGGACAGTGTAACTGTTGTGAGCTGCTTTTCCCTGCCCACCGCTTCGATGTGTGTGTCTGCTTCTCGTGCATTATGTCAGATAAACAGCCGTCAGTGATAGAAACAGAAATTTAATGCACATTTATGCATCATGTCGTATCACTCAGCTCTTAGTTTGAGTAAAAGAACACCTTTATAAACACTCCAATTATTTTAAATTAATTTCTGCCTCTTTTTTCATATATGCTAACGGTTCCATATACTGCATTGGTTCTATAAGTTAAATTGTTCTGTAATACGTACATGTAGGTATAGGTAAGTTAAAAACAATCTCCGGAAAATGTTTTAAATGCTAATTTTTTACTCAATAAAATACATTTGGAATCAGATTATTTTGTGTCTGTGTGTGTGTGTGTGTGTGTGTGTGTGTGTGTGTGTGTGTGTGTGTGTGTGTGTGTGTGTGTGTGTACTGGTTATGGTATTTTACAAGGACCGAAATTTGTATAATGACATGGGTAGGACCTAGTTATACTTTATTGAGGTGTTTTAAAGGTACCTGTCATGTGTCCTCATAACTCATTGTTTTAAAATCATACTTAACAGGGTTTATATCATTCAAATTTTACCACATGTTTCCTTTGTCTTAGAAGTAGGGGGAAAGACTGCTTAAGAATTCATTGGCTCGATATTGTCAAATCTGATACCAACATGAGTATGTGCAAACTCAAAGTGGTGATTAATAGAACTGTGTGGAGGGGAATGATCCATAGAATGACTGAAAATCAACCTTAATTGAACTAATGATTGATTTTCTTTGTCCAAATGAAGCTCTCAGTATTGCATTTTAGATATTACTAATTGAAAATAACAATTTTATATAATTACACTAAAAAATACACAACATGGAAGATGATTTTTTACTTAATATTGTAATGATTTCTGGCTATTTCTACAAATAAACCAGTGCAACTTAAGACTTGGTTTTGTGGTCCAATGTCACACATTTCTATTCAGCTCAACCAACCTGTCTCCTTTAGACAAGCTGCTACTATACCAGGCCATCATAAAGCGACAGAGCTTGTACAATAGAAGGATCTGCCTTTGATCCCTCCTGAAACTCCTGCAGGGTCAGTTTCCCGTCAGCATTCTGGGTACAAAAACAAAAACAAACGTTGCTGAGAATCACAACTGTGACTTACAAGCAACTGGGTTATTTTAAGAGTGTTTGTGGATATATGTTCACACATTAAAATTTTTAAAAGAATGTGGAATAGACTTAAAGGTTATATCAGTTTACAAACTAGAGGATACTTAAAAAAACAGCAATGAGGATTTTTAATTATGCATGAGAAAAAAAAACTCTCCCTCTTTTAAGTTTCTTCACATGCCCAGCAGGGGGCAAATGCTAATAGGCTGATCCATTGAGAAAACATTCACAGCAGAGTAAACAATGAAAACCTTTCTTTCACCTTTTGTAGCTGTGTAGTTCTTGTTTGAAGAAGCATTTGCAGTTATGTATAATTAAGTCCTAAGAGTAACCCTACACATTCTTATGATTTGGGAAAGGCTCTGTAGGGGATTTTTATGCACTTAACTTAAGCTATGGTCACTCTAAATGCTATTTGTTACACCCGTTTAAATCTATGACACCTATTATAAAACCCTGCTCTAGAGCTTGGTTGGTGCACTGCGGTCATAAAGGAAAGGACATGGTCTAGTTGGCTGTTTTATTGATGTTCGATTGATTCTATGATGCCCAAAGTGTGCCTAGAAAATCTGCCTCACAACATTTCACCACCAGCAGCATGAACTGCTGATAGAAGGCAGAATGGATACATGCCTTCATGATTTTAATGCTAAATTCTGACCCTACCATCAGAATGTCGCAGCAGAAATGAGTACTCATCAGACCAAGCACCCTTTTTCAGTCTTCTACAGAGCAGTTTTGAATCATATAGCATAATATATTTTTTTATTATTCACCAGTGTGCTCTTCTTCTGCTGCTGCAGCTCATCTGCTTCAAGTTTCAATATGTAGCATGTTCAGGAATGCTCTTCTGAAGACCTCGGTTTTAACAGGTGTTAGGAGCCGATCACACCAAACGCACATTTATGCCCAAAAACGCTAGGCGCATCACAATTTCTTTTTTAATGACAAGAAAAAAAGAAGCAGGGTGTGCTTTTTTTTATGTCGCTATAGACAATGACAAAATCAGCTGCGTATTGTGCAAGAGTGTTGCTGTTGAAATTAATATATTTTTAATATTTAATAATATTGTGATATTCAAGATTTGTGAAGTCATACAGCTCCTCTAAACAGCGACCACAAGTCTCTTCTCCTCAGTTCTCCACAATTGTCTTGACAACACAAACAGTGCAGCCATCTCAACAGAAACCCCGCCTCTGCTTTCAATTGATTGGAAAATGAAACAGACGCGACTGTCATAACGCACTTTTTCTGCTCAGACTTGACTTTTCTTCAACCACAAGCACTTCAAATGAACCTTTTGTGTTGAGAAGCGCCTTTTTCACATCACAAATCTTGAATATCACAATATTATTAAATATTAAAATTATATTTATATTAACAGCAACACTCTCAAACAATATCCAGCGAATTCATTTGTTGCCTTGTAGCGACATAAAAAAAGCAACATTAAATCTGTCATTAAAAAGGCACTGTGGTGTGCCTCGCGTTCTTGGAACGTAAATGCATGTTTGATGTGACCAGCCTTTATATCTGCTATTTTCTATATCTGGATATTTTCTCTTTAACAAGTTTGACGAACATATAAAACATTTGTTGGATAAAAAAAAAATATTACAATTAATAACCACGGGGAGTGACACAAACAACTGAAGTTCGAATCCACATGCAGGTTTATTAGAATCGTCAGGCAAGCAAAGGTCAATTCAGGTGCAAACAGATATATGCAGACAATCCAGAATCGTAGTCGAATAACAGGCAAGGAGGTCAATTCTTATCCACGCATTAGTTACTTCACGTCTTGACTACTGTAATGCACTTCTTTCTGCACTTCCTTCCAAACTTCTCCATAAACTCCAACTGGTTCAGAACCATGCAGCTCGTGTCATCTCTAGGACCCCATCTCACGAGCACGTCACACCACTCCTCTATCAGCTTCATTGGCTTCCAGTAAAGTATCGAATTGATTTTTAAATATTACTTCTAACTTTCAAGGCACTTCATAATCTCGCTCCTCAATATCTCACTGAACTTCTCCATATCTACACCCCTTCTCGTACCTTTAGGTCAGCTAACAACTTCACTCTGGCACCACCTCGCACTCGACTGAGCAAAAAGGGAGACAGATCTTTTAGCTCTATGGCTCCTAGGCTATGGAACTCACTTCCAGTAGATCTTAGGAGCAGTGATAGTCTTCACAATTTTAAATCACGTCTAAAGACCCATCTTTTTAAGCAGGCTTTTACTTAATTTTTTTATCATGTTTTTATTATGTTCTTTTATATTCGCTATTGCGTTTTAACTTGTTTGGTCAATGATTGTTTTTAGTAATGTTTAAGTTGTTTAGCATGTCTGCTGATGCTTACTGTAAGGCGACCTTCGGTGTCCAGAAAGGCGCCATTTATAAATAAAATGAATTATTATTATTATTTATTATTATTAGAAGGCAGGCGGCAAACAAGGAAAAAAGGATAAGCTAGGCTAAGGATCAAAAACACGGCAAAGGCAGACAAAGGAAAACGCTTTGTAATGTCACTATCATCAGTAAACAAGACTCAGCAACAGTGAGTGTTTCTGTGCTGTTTATGTAGTGCAGTAATCAGTCTAGAAGCAGCATCAGCTGTGGGAGTCTAATCAGTATAGACTTGGAGCAGGTGTGTGTGTGTGTGGCATGACTAAAAAAATATAGTCCATTTAGAAGCAGATTTGTAGTCCTATGTGTGTGTGTGTTTTTACCAGCGACCTCTGGTGGTTAGATCGCTGGCGATCGTAAAAGCAATGTAGAAGGAACAACAGAACATTTTTTAAAAAGATAAAAAGTTGTTTCTAACAAAGGAAAAATCAAAGGAATTTACTGCAGTCAAAATCAAATAATGAGATACATCCGGACAGAAATTTTGAGCAGCAATCTTTCTAGTTGTAGTTCTAAAAACTTTTACCTGAAACAAAGCTGCTTTACTTTGGATGATTAACTTTTGTTTATTCTTTTGACTTATTATTATTAACGGTGAGCAAACTCACAGTTGGTGAGCAAGAGATGGTGTCTCAGTGAAGATGGATTCTGGCTCACTGATTTGCTGAAAACTTTTTTTTTTAAATTGTAGAGTAAATATTAATAGTAAATAAACTAATTTTACATTAGTTATACTAATTTTTAAAAGATTGTTGGTAAATGTTATCGATAAAGATAAACGATTGCTGGTAAATGTTCTGATGTTGATGGCCATTGGCAGTTATAGCAAAAAATAAATTTTAGACTGCTGTGCATAAAACTCCTAGTAGATCAGCAATTTCTAAAACACTCAGACTATAGCAGATCTGTCTCCAGCAAGCATGCAGTGTTCAGACACTTGATTAACCTTTTTTCCCTCCTCCTGATGCTCGATTTGAACTTCAGCAGATCATCTCGACCCCATCTACATGCTTAAATGCATTAAGTTGCTCTAATGTGATTGGGTAATTAGATACTTGCATCAATGAGCAGCTGAAGAGTAGTTTCTAATAAAGTGGCTGATATAAGGTGTAATATGTATGCACAGCACTAAAGCCAGTGATACCAAACAGTGCAAATATATGCAAATGCACAGTTTTGAAATAGGCTTGTCATCTTTATTTCTATAGTGCTTTTTAATGTAGATCGTGTCAAAGTCACATGAACTAACTGAAATGCAATCCATCTATTCTGCTAACCAAACTAACAGCATAGCAAAACTATTTGATATAAATCAGAATATGTGATGATTATCTTTAATGCTTATATGGACTCGCTGAAACAGTTTTACTGAATAAGTTTGTTTCACCTAACCACAATTCCCAGAATTAATTTTTGATACTGGCTAAACTGTAATCATTGGAGCTTACAGTGATCCAGAGTCAACTAAAAGATTGTCTGTAAACAATCCCAAACAAGTCCTCATCTTTTAGAGACTGAATTGAGCATTAATGCTAGTCTCCAATGTTAGCAGTAGCACATGCCACACCAGCGTTTATAGTGTTAGTGACGCTAGCTTTGCCACAGATATGAGCTCTTGTTTCGTAATGTATCCCTGATCTCTCCTCCTTTGGCCTGACGATAAGGATGTGGTTAGTAACTTGAATCGAAGCTATAAATGTGTGAATGTTCTTGAGAAGATTAGTGGTATTTGCATAAGACTGCATAAAAATACTTAGCTAGTCAAAAGGGGTAGTCCACAAAAAAAAATCTTCAACTAAACATTAAATGAAATCGTTCGCAGGATGCTGTTAACCAAGTTGTTTTGGGTCCTATTGCCTTTTTCTTTTGCCCATGCAATAGATAATAAGGGTACTTGTCCACCAGAGTTTTTTTTTTCTTTCTTAAGCTTAGAATATTCTTTTCAGATGTTGTCAAAGGTTGTGCCGTGTTTTTAAGAACACCTTGAGCATGGCAAGGACAATCCATCCATTATACATGAAGCGAGTGTTCAATATTATTTAAAATGCTTTGACAGTTGAGGAAATTGGCAGTAGTGTATGTAAGTGTCTGCAAGAGTGTGTAGGTTGTGACCGAAAGGGCATCTGCTGCATAAAACATGTGCTGAATAAGTTGGCGGTTCATTCCACTGTGGCTACCCCTGATTAATAAAGGGACTAAGCCGAAAAGAAAATGAATGAATAATGACAGTTGGGAAAACACTCACAGCTAAGCGTTTTTTTAGAAGAGCAATGACTTTTTTAGCTTTGTAAAAACACGTTGGTGGACCAGCTGAAACTAACACTGGATACCTGAGGTATACTTTTATTTTTATTCTTCAATTTGTCAACTGTAATTCACTAATTTGCCAAAAATCTGTGAATTTTAATTATTATTTACCATATTATAAAAAATGGTTTCCACGCTAGTCATTATCTTTAAACAATCTTTGAAAAAAAGGCTTAACATCAAGTCGTGCTTCTCTAGGATGTCACCTGTATAGCTTTAAATTACTCAAGCCATTTATATTTGAATGGATTCTGAATGACTGTCAGTGTTTTATTATTTATAACATACGAAAAAAATGTTCCCAATGATATAGTTTCACCACATCTTTATGGTCTGACCTCTGCTGTTTTACATGTATTTTACATTCAGAATTATTTTCAGCACAAAGTGTTTAATCTAACACCTTTAGTGAGAACAGGACTTTAGTCTTATTTTTCTTATATTTAGAGTTATTTTAAACTGTTGACAATCTCCACTGACTATTTGCTCTGTTTCCCTACAATGGAAATCAAAAGGGATCATTAACTGTTTGGACTGTCATTTTTGGGTGAATTATCACTTTAATCATCACTTTATTTTAGATTTTTGTTTGACTTATTAGTATGATCAGTGTGATTGGAGTCAATAACAAACAACAAAAAAGTAACCATACCTTATCCATCATGGCAAAAATGCGATCCACTCTTTTCTCTGGTGTGTTTTCTTCTTCAGGAAGGTCAACTGTGTTTCCCTTAAAAAAACAAAAGAGATATTAGAGTCATTTCAGAGATATTTTGCTCATTAAGCAAATGATTTATGCTCTGACTGTAATTACAGCTGAAATGAAGTGACTTACCACCATCTGATAGATGGCATCAACGATATTGAGCATCTCATCACGAGTGATATAGCCATCGTTATCAAGATCATAAAGCTTGAAGGCCCCTAAAGCGTGTAATAAGAAGTGCAACAGTGAGTGTATGCAGAAATATTATTACACTTTCAGTAAACAGAGCATGAAACACTTAAAACTACTTCTTAAATAGATATTTTTAAATATGTTTAGTTAAAAATGTAATAAAATACATAGTAACATTAATACTATTTTAAATTTAAAATAAAACTGTAGGACTTTTCAAATTTCATTTGCCAACTAACTAAAATGTAAGAAGCTTAGTAAAATGAATAAAATATATAAAGATATAATTATTAATATTATTCATTATTAATATTATCAGAATGTATATACAGATTAATATTTATATGAATATTACTATAATATATAAAACACGAAGAAAAGACATTTGATGAGCATAAATATATAAAGTATATACAGTCCAAGTCAGTATTATTAGCCACCCTTAGAATTTATTTTTCTTTTTTAAATATTTCCTAAATTATGTTTAACAGGGCAAGGAAATTTTCACAGTATGCCTAAAAATATTTTTTCTTCTGGAGGAAGTCTTGTTTTATTTCGGCTAGAATAAATGCAGTTTTTAATAAAAAAAAAAAAAAAAAACCATTTTAGGGACAAAATCATTAGCCCCTTTAAACAATTATTATTATTTTTTTTTTTTGATAGTCTACAGAACAAACCATCATTATACAATTATTTGCCAAATCACCCTAACCAGCATAGTTAACCTAATTAACCTAGTTAGGCATTTAAATGTCACTTTAAGCTGTAAAGAAGTGTCTTAAAAATATCTTGTAAAGTATTATTTACCTGTACTGTCACCATGGCAAAGATAAAAGAAATCAGTGATTAAAAAAGAGTTATTAAAACCATTATGATTAGAAATATGTTGAAAAAAATCTTCTCTCCGTTAAACAGAAATTAAGGTAAAACTTAAACAGAGTAGGGAATATTTCAGGGGGGCTAATAATTCTGAGTTCAACTGTATAACCATTTTCATAAGGTTTTTTTTTTTTTTTTTTTAACCTCCAATGCTTTAAAAACATGTATGGTACCATATTTATAGAAACTGTATAGCATACATATTTCCACATTTCACATTCACATTCCACTCAGCTTAATAGAAACCCTGAAAAAGCAGCACTGTAAATAATGTTGAACTTCTTACATTTCATTTCTAGCAATTATAAATTGAAAAGCATAGTTAGCAGAGCGAGGACATCTTATCAGCTTATCAGCACTGCAACGGATGATGGATGCAGGATCCAGAGATAAAGGCTTGCTTTGTATGAGCCCAAAAATTGCACAGCAATTATAACAGTGAGGAGTGACTCTTTCATCTTGCCATCTATGGTTTTGTCTTTACTACAGGACTCCTGGATGTCTCACCCATACAGTCCTACTTCATTCCTCTCATAAAGAGGCAATCCTAAAACTCCTAGTGCAAACAAAGGTCTGTGCCTGGGGTGAAGACAGTGGAAGAGGAGGTACCCAAAACATATTTGTGAAAGCATCTGTTTAATTTCAGAGAGGAAATTACTTTGGTGTTTAAAATTGAGCCACTTTTTCTTTTGATGAACTTTACTAAGCCCAATGGCCTCAAAATATTCCATGCCACACCACATTTTGGCATTTGATAATAAAATATGAAACCAAGTGACATGTTTTTCGAAAGAAACTAATATTTCATAAAATACAGCGACTTGGAAGTAAAGCTATATACAATACTAAAATCCTAAAATAACCTAAACTTAAATGTGAATGTATATAAAAGCTTTATGAAGATTATTATTATTATTATTATTATTATTATTATTATTATTATTATTATTATTATATATTTTAAATGGCACACCTCAAAAAAACTAAAACAGAAAATCTATTTAAAACAACTAATACTTTTTGTTTTACATAACCTATGTAGGGACGTATAAAAATAAAATAAAATTATTTTAAATTATATCCAATACTAAAATTCTAAAATAACCAAAACGTAAATGTTAATGTATGAAAGCTAAATAAAGATATTTTTAAAAAAGCACACCTCAAAATAACTCAAACAGAAAATCTATAACATTCTATATTATATAAAAATCTAAAACATTTTGTATATTTTTGGGCTTGGTGTATTTTACATCGCAAATGCAGAAATGGTGAATTTTAATGCTTCTAATACTTAATGAATTACTAATCAACTTAATGTCATTTTTTTTATTTGAATCTCACATGAATGAGCTTTTATTAATCAAAGACTTGCTTACAGCGAAGCTTTTCATCCAAAGTCCCACGTGAGGTCACAGACAGCGCCTGAATGAACTCAGAGAACTCAATTCGTCCATCCTGTAGAAGAAAAAAAACAGAAATTAAATTACCAATAAATTGTTTAGCCACCAAAAATACAAAAAACCTTTCAATATAAGTTAATATTATCATTAAATGTATTATTCTGTTTAAAATTTATTCCCACACATCTAATGTAATCTTCAAATCTAATGCATTCCTACAAATCTAATCTAATGCATTTTAACACAACCATCTGTGTGTGTTAAGACAGGATTGTAAATTAGCTAAAAGGGAATGCTAAAAGAAAAGATGCTGTAAAAACTTAGTTTGTCCATGCTAACTAATGCACTAATTTTAAAGTAGATAGGCTTATTGTAAAGTGTTAGCCAGAGGCTCTCTGTTGATTGGCAGGGTAAAATGGGCCAGTGGGCTGCTATTCTTGTTCCTCCCTCTGCTCTTCCTCAGGGCTACATGCTGCCACTTTTAACCATTACATGACACATTCTGCTTTTAAATATCCAAAGACATTTGCAAAGAAAAATGTTAAATATGAAAAAACTATCAGCTTTGAATGTTATTACTCGATTAAATGGGCATTATCAGTGGTTATCAGCTGATAGATATGGGCAAGTAGGGGCCTTATGCGCCTACTAGTAGGCTCAAAAGGCTGGTTTTATTCATCCACATGGTTAATCAGCTATATTAATATAGAAGACTCCACATCCAGCTTTTACATTACTGTGATGGTTGGGTTTAAAGTTAGGTTGGGGTGGACGTGAATAAAATACAATTAATAGGAAATTTAATAAATAATATAAATAATTCTTGTTAACTTTCACCCACAGCCGTATGTGATCTTTAACTGATTAAACATGTGGATGAATGCCTTCTGCACCTACTAGAAGGCCACTATATCTATCAGCTGATAACCACTGATAATGCCAATTCATTTGAGTAATAACATTCGAAGCGGGTGAAATAATATTAATAAACACATACACATTATCCCACACATAGGCTTCTAGTGCATTTTAACATGTAGTGCACTAAAAGAACAGATGCCGTTGGAACTTGGAATGTTGTTGGAATGCTGTTGGTTTGTTAAAAAGTAATAACTTGAATTGAAAAATGAATTGTGCAAATAAAAGTGCAATAACATTATTAAACACACACATGTAGTTTCTGAACAGTTTTGATCACAGTTAGAAATGAACACATAAACTTTAGCAGAAATCATAAATCAGTGAAAGATGACAACGCTTTCATTCCTCTGCATAATCTGAAGGACACACTGATGTGCTTCACCAGAGAACTGATGGGCATTAACCAGCTTGCAAATATGCTCCAAATTATTTGCAAAGAGGTAGCTATATGTTATAAAAGCTATTAGATATGCCTGTGCCATTTGCACACAAACGATCTCTCTCTCACACAAGTGCCCTCTCTGTCTGCATGACTGATGGTTCAGTGCAGGGACTAGGGGACAATTGAAAAAAAATACAAAATTGGTCAAGTGTTGCACTGCAAAAAAGCAAAACTAGTTTTTACTACACAGTAAATTCATTAGTGTTTAATTTCAAGTGTTGTGGTAATTCAGAGTAAAGTGTTAAAATTCTATAGTTAGATAAAGATAAAATGACCCTCTCAGTGTTAGAAGCTGATTTGCCTCCTTGTCAAACATAGTTACATGTATCTAACACTAGTACAGTGTTGACTACTACATCTGGGAATTTAGGCAGCAATATTCCTGGAGGATTTTTCCAGGAGTTTTTAACCATCGTTATACATGCGTTAGTTTTAAATATCTCACAAAAAAGCATATTTTTTCATATTTATTTTGTTTTGTACTAGCTACACTAAAAGTAAAGAAATAAAGCTGTCTTAAAACTGCTCTGTTTGGTTAAAAAACAAGAAAATACGTTTTCTGACTATTTTGAATTGTTTTCCTTAAACATTAACCAAATAGTTAATAAATTGTTGCCGATATTAAACAAGATATATTATTATTTCTGTGCAGTGTTGAAAATTTGACTTACGAGCACATAACACTGAGTGGTGCTCATATGAAAATTTGTGGTGTTAATATTTTACACTATAAGAGTTTGCTAATTAACACTCTCTGAATGTTAATAATGTTAACTCTTTCATAATCTTATTTTAACACTTTTATAGTGGTCCCCATATAAACTAAGGGAGTGTTAATTTGAACTCTAGGGTAGTTAAATCTACTATCTAAAATTTGCAGTGTAGGCTATAACTTGGCAAATGACCATGACATAGTGTATTAAAGGATTTTTTATGCACTTACATACAACACGCACATGCACCTATGGTTGACCTGTAAGCTGTAAGTCATTTACTATGTAGAAAAATTATATTGATCCTTCAGCAAATGTTAACTAACTGCATATAGTAGTGGTATGATATTTTCAGATCAAATAAATAGATTGTAATGCCATTCACTGACTATATTATTGCTCAATTGAAGAAAAATGCATAAATAAATCAACATAACCAACACAAGCTGTTTCTGAGAAAACAAAACACGATTGCTAGCACCCTTCACTAGACATTCCACTTTGAAACTTAACTTAAAAATAAACGCTATGTATTTTTCTTGAGCTTTGGTTAACTTAATGATCGAAGTTTTGTGTACTGTAGCTTTAAAAAACGTACAAAACCTTCCTTAAAACTTCAAAGTGTAAAACATTTTAGTGTGCTTGTTCAAACCCTGCTGTATGATTCATGACTAGGCACTGTGTATTCTGTCGTCTTCAGATGGAGCTGGTGGGCATAAGGGAGTTCTGAAGAGGCACTTACAATGACAACAAAATGATCCCACCAAGCATTGTTCTACTAATAAGCTTTAACACACAAGTGACCCTGACTGATTAGCAGTTTATTTCTTTTTGCAATATATTGTCTCAGACTGAACTGTTCTTGACCTGCAGAGAACAAAATAGCATGTAAAACTGTAATTATGCTTGTCAGCGACTAGACTATATCAAGGGCTCATTCTAGACAAGCAAGGAGAAAAATCTATTAAAAAGCATTCACTGCCCTGCATTTTCACAGATGACTTTGTGCTATAGCATAACATATGATACATTTATTTTAGCTGGTAAAGAAACAAGGGTTTAAAAGGTTTAAAAACACATTTTAACACATTATAAACACATTTGAATTTTTATTACTAAACCTGCACTGTAGACCCGTTTATTAAAGGTTCACGACACCCTGGAGTTAAAAAATTGTAACAGATTTGTGTGTGCTGAACATCAGTTAAGACAACGTTAACTTTAATAGTGGGGAAGCTTTAATAGTACCTGTTAGCTTTAATAGTGGGGAAAACTGGATAATTTTGAGCTTTTGTCAGCTAATTTTATCTTTCGAGATTAAAATAATTTTTGGGTCGGGATAAAAATGATGTACTGCGAATCTGCTAGTGGAGTGATTCTCATTATTATTTATAGTAGAGTTTTCTTATCCTATGAGAAGACCCTGCTTCTTAATTATTCATGAGAGCAAATGCTTTCCAAAGGCAAGGCAGACCTGCAAAGCTGTAAGACCCAATGACTGGGTAAGACCGTGTCTGTGTATGACACGGGTTGTATGTATTTGTTTCTGTTATCCACAGGGTTTCTTGCGTGGCTTTCCCTGCGATTCTGTCAGGGCCGATACAGCAAAGCTGTTGGTTTGCAGCAAGCATTTTTGTCAAGAAAGCTGTATGAGAATTGGAGAATGTCGTACTTTGTCTTTTATCAGTTGAGTTTGTTACCATTCAGACACATCGCCTACATTAGTGCTGCTGTGTTCGCCTATGTTTAAAATCCTCCAGATTACTGGCAAAGGTAATGGTTGGAACAGACAACACGAGACCTGCTGCACTGCTATGCACTGTGTCTTCATTCAGACCCCGGGATTCAGGAGAGAAGTCCTCCTCATTTATAGTATTTAGCATAGACATGATTATCTTTATGATGATATAACAAATTGTGGTTATATGTATATGAAATTATGAATAACAAATGTAGAAGGACACTAAATTACTTACTGTTTATTTCTTTGCATTTTAACTTTGTAAACTATGAAATCTTGGGTCTTTTCATGGTTTGTGTCTCATTTTGTGAGCCAACTGACAACAGATGTTCGCTCCCTTCTTTTCCCCCTGCTGGCCATGCCCACTCCTCCCTCAGCTCACAGAGATCCACACCCATCTTAGAGCATTTTTAGGAAAAATTCTGAGGTAGACTTGAACTAAGCTTCAAAACTTTACTGAGCTAAAGTTGGTTTTGTATTCACACAAAACCAATAGCTGTGTTTCCATCAAAAAATGCGAACTTTATGAGCAAAACTAGATTATCACATAAAAGAAGTGCGAATGAAGCAGCTTTTCAATCCAACGAGTCAAAGCTAACAAAATCGTCACTTCCTGATTAACTGCCGCCAAATATCAACAGTAAAAACTGAATTTGCTGCAGTAGGAAAATCTGTATCAATCTTTTCTTCATCTGCCTCAGAAGGCAAATCCTGCCATGAAGTGAACGCGCAGTGGCATTTGAAGGTGTCAGACACAGAGAACAGACACTCTTGATTCTGAAGGTCATTAATAATATAATAACACTAATACTTAAACGGTAAGGCATTTTAGAATGACCAAAACAAGATTTCAGATGTTTTATAATGTGCTCAGCCTGCTGGTTTGTCCGTTCACACACATTTTTTATCATCACATGATCTCTTATAACAAAATCACATGACCTTTTTTAATGCGCATGCTGGAGTTTGTGCGGTAAAAGTGTTTCCATCGTAGTTTATGTGCATCTTTTCCTATCGAATGAAAAGTTTTTATGCGCATTTTCAAAATTTATGCGCATCTTGGCGGTTCCATCAACCATTTTTTCATGATCATATGCGCATGGGATGGAAACATAGTTAATGACAACCTCTGACATGCTCCCTATATTGTTTACCATGCTGCATTAAATATTCGATCTGAAATAGCATGTAAGTATGGCTTAGTAATAAGTGTAATTCATACACTCCACTAGCCAACC